GGTCATAAAGGTCGTCGGCTGTTTGAAATTCTTCCATAATTATGTCCATGTTAATAAAAATATTGTGACTTTAAACAGCTGAACATGAGCTCAAGGTCAGGTTTTCTGCTTGTGAGAAAAATACTTTCAGTTTTGTGTTTAAACGTCTGAAAGAGTTGACTAAAGTTTACATGTCAGGAAAAAAAACCCTGCATTGATTGTGATTAAACTGAGCTTTTGTTAAAAAAAATACACACAGGAAGAGTTTCAACAACATGACAAAAGATTTATAAAAAAAAATACTATTTTAAAATAAAACACACKTGTGAAGATCAGAGAAAGAAACTTGATTTTAAATTTTCATTTGCATTTATTGAATGAATTGTAGTGATTTGTACAACTAAACTTCTAATAATGAACAGTTATGAGGAAATTCACAGGTTCTTTAAGGAAATAAACACATTTTCTGTGTAAATGTGAGGATACACAAATAAGTCAGACTTTAGTCAGGGAATTCAAGTTAATTCGGCCGTAAATGATATAATTTATTTATAGAATCAAAATAAATAATTTATATATAATTTATGGTGAAGAATCAAATTTTGTTGAGAGTTAAAACAAACAAAAACACGTCGGCACTGATTAACTGTCGACATGACAACTCTAACAGAAACAACTTCAGGTTTAAGGTCTTAAGAAACCAGAAGTTTGAACGAATTTCACTGATAAAAACTCAAGTAAAAACTAAAAACTGCTCTCAATAATCTGGAAAGTAAAAGTACTTTTACACTCCAAAAAATGGAGTGTTTCATTTAATTAAACCGGTTCCACTAAACTGAAGTGAGTAAATGTAAAGCCATAATTTCTTTTAAGGAAAATGTGTAAACTGCTTTATTTGCTTTAGTGGAACCAGTTGATGTGTTAAATTCAACACTTCATTTTTTACAGTGCATAAACAACTCTTTTCRTGATTAATTTTGTCCTATTTTAATCGGTAGTGTGTAACGAGGTGTAAAAATTTAAAGTATAAAAGTATAACTTTTAGGTTTTGAACAGAACAAAGTAAAAGTTATAAAATAGTRATTTTCACACAGGTTTTAACCATCGTGTTTGTTTTATCAGTTTAATGATGGAGCGGTTCTGTTGAGGCCCAGCAGCTGAAAGCTCTGTGTGGCTGAGTGTAACTCCAGCCTTTTGATTAGCAAACAGCTGTTTAACAGCTGTGGTTTTGCTAATAGCTGAACAAACTTGTGTTAATTTGCAGAATTTGAGGGAAACGTTTCACTGGAAGCCCCATTGGAGTTAAATAAGACCTGCAGTCATGCTCTCAGCAGCAATTATATCCGATGGTTCAGAAAGCCCAAATGTGTTTTTCCTCCCGAGCCGCCGAGCTCAGGAATGTAAATGACACCGTCCATGGAAGCCCGTGAAGAGAAGCTGGCACAGCGTGAGCACCTAATGGGCTGAAGATGGAACCGAATCAAGACAACATTCCTTCAGACGCTGTTAGATATTTCTGCTGTGCAGCTGCAGCAACCTGCGTCTTTTCAGGGCTCCACTAATGATCCTGGCTCCGGCTCTGAAAGGTCACGGATGAGCACTCCGGTGACGAGCTGGTTCAGGATGTGTGCCAGCAGAAAGTGGGGGCTCTAATGAAACAAATGCTGAGGTGGTGATTTGTGGGTCTGCACTAAGGTGGATTTTCAGCTAAAGAATTTATCAGCAATGAATTGCACAATAAGTCCCAAATGACCCAAAAAAGGACGACTTCTTTGTCCGGGACTGTAAATCTTTGTTTTCAGTCATAAAGCAAGGTTCATTAGAGGTGCCTGAAAGATTTTTGCCTCTCCGAGTTTTTGATTTTCTAAACAGGAAGGTGACAAGTCCTTTCCTAACAGAGCACTTCACTCTCAGACTGCAGGTTTACTTGTGGTTCCTGGAGTTTCTAAAAGTAGAATGGGAGGCAGAGCTTTCAGTTATCAAGCTCCTCTCTTGTGGAACCAACTTCCAGTTTCTGTCCGTGAGGCTGACACTCTGTCTACTTTTAAGATTAGAGTGAAGTCTTTCCTTTTTGATAAATCCTATAGTTAGGTTTGGTTTCCTGAGCCTGGTTCTGGTTCTGCTGGAGGCTTCTTCCTGTAAAAAGAGAGTTTTTCCTCTCCACTGGCACCAATGTGCTGCTCTGCTCAGGATGGGAGACTGTGATGAAGTGAAGATTCAACACAATCTGCTGGCTTCTTTAGACTGATAACTTTTATTAACTGGTTTTTATAAAGTGTGTGAATGAATGTGAGCTCTGCTTTTGTTAGGATTTGGTCCTGTATAAATAAACTGTATAAATAAACTGTATAAATAAACTGTATAAATAA